CATGTAGAGTGAGAAATGGGAGGGAAGATGTTTGTGGGCACAGGTTGAGAAACTGTTCCTAAATAGGGCCAGCTACTTCTAATCCTTAGTTAAAGGAGATACAGAATAATTTTGATTGGCAGTTTGAAGAGTCTTGTTTCAGATGTTTTTGACCATTTTAAAATGAAATGCCTTATTTGCAGAAGGTGAGGAGAGAGGAATAGGAGTTGAAGAAATAGGTAAAGGTTTATAAGAGCCTTCATAGAAAGAAATCAGACCAACAGGTGAGTTAGCAAGTACTCAGGTACCAATGGCTGGACTTAATTAGCAGCCTGTAGTCTGCCAATACGTCTATGGTTTTTGAATTCTACTCATTTAAACATTTGATCTTTTTGGAATTTGTTTTGGTGTAAGGTGTTAACAATGGATTCTCCTTTTTTTTTTTTTTTTTGGGATATTTACCTAGTTATCCCAACACATGAACTTAATTGAATAATCTGTCTTTCCCCATTGATTTGAATGTCATCTATATTATAAAATAAATGCCTACATAAATCTGGATGAATTTCTCATTCATTCACCAGCAATGAGAATTCCATATCCTTGTCTCACTAGGTTTTATTAAGTGTTTTGGATTTTGACTGTTCTGATAGGTGTGTAGTGCTGTCTCATTGTGAATTTTGAGTTCTCTAATGACATATGCTGATGAGCATCTTATGTTTATTTACTATGGGCATATTTGGTTGAGATGTCTTTCTTCCTTCTTTATTTTGGCCGTACTGGGCTTTGAACTTGGCTTTACATTTGCAAAGCAGGCACTCTACTGCTTGAGCCACACCTCTTGTCCATTTTGCTCTGGTTATTTTGGAGATGGGTTCTTGTGAACTATTTGTTCAGGCTGGCCCTGAACCATGGTCCTCCTGATCTCAGCCCTCCAAGTAGCTAGGATTACAGGTGCGAGCCACTGGTGCCTGGTGCTTTCTCCCATTTTTAAACTGGCTGCTTTCCTTTTCTTTTTCTTTCTTTGGTACTTAGATGTTAACATATGGCCTCATACTTGCTTGGCAAGTGCTCTACACTTGAGCTATGTCCCCCCCTTTTTTTCTACTTCTTCTTCTTTTTCTGGTGCTAGGGATCAATCCCAGGGCCATGTGCATGCTAGGCACGTGCCCTACCACTGAACTACATTCCCAGCCCAGGCTCTGGTTGTTGAGTTTAATGGTTCTTTGTATATTTTGGGTAACATATTAGATAAGTCTTTTACAAATCAGTGTTTCAAAAGTGTTCCTTGTTTCTGTAGTAAATAGGATTTTTTTGTCTAATACTGAGATTGGTCTCTGAGGGTTTTTTTAATAGATATAAGTTGTATATTAATTTGGGCTTTAGGGGTTGAAACTATATTAACGTCAATAGCCTGATTAGAGCTCACATTAGAATACTACATTTATCAGTAAACTTCTCATAAAAATCTTCAGGGCACCTTCATTGGTTGTGCTCCCTAAAAATTAGAAATATTCATTCATCTATTACAAATATAGAAATTGCTGGAATGTAGTTATCTCCTTTCCAAAGTGTAGGTAGAAGTATTTGGGAAACTCAAGCAGACAACCAAGAGGAAGAACTGGCTGTTATTTGACTTGTATCATCATTGGACTTAATCAGTTTTGATCACATTAATTCAGTAATAGAGATTAGGCTAGATTTAACTTTCCTAATATACAGTTTATTAAGATTTTGTTGATCAAATGAGATTGTGCAGCATAGAACCGGGAATATTTAGCAGCAACTGCTTGCTTGAGCAGAGATAGTTGTGTGGGTATGGGATAATGTAGAACTAAGCACTGTAGAAGCATCAATTATGCATGGCTAAGGAATAGAGAACAGATAAAGAATTGCAGAAGTCCACTAAATTTTGATTAGTTCCTGGCAGTAAGTCCTGACAGCCCCTAAGACATCAGTATGACTACATCAGCTGTTCCTGTGTTGCTGCCACTGCCACCATCACAGCTTCTAGCTGTGATCCAGAGTGCCTTAGCCTTCCTTTTGAGGACTCTGATGTTTGTGGAAAGGCATATGGGGAGGGGGTCTTGAGGAAGGAGAGAACATATAAATTATTTTCCAGATGATGTTTTTGTTTGTCTGGTTTTGGTGGTATGGGGGGTTGAACTCAAGGCCTCGTGCTTACAAGGCAGGTTTTCTACCACTTGAACCACTCTACGAGCCCAGGAAAACTGATATTTTAGAAAATATCAGTTCCCATGTATAAAGGATGTTTTATCTTGAATTCTGAGGAAGTAAAATTTCTCTAAGTGATGAAACATACAATTTAGCTGGTTTCTAAAGAAAATATATATTCCTTATTCGTTTAAGTTGAACCTTAGCCATAAATTCTAACCTGACTTTCTTTGTCCTGGGGCATACTTCATCATTCTTTTATATTGCCTCTAGTTGTCTTTCTGTTTACTACTTTTCATTATTTGAAAAAGCAAATTTAAGAATTAAATTATGTTGGCCTTCAGCCAGGTATGGTATAATCCCAGAACTTTAAGGCAGGAGGGCTTGAGTTTGAGATAAGTCTGGACTACATTGTGAGACTTTGTCTTAAAAACAAGAATTACGTTGTCTAAATATGACTGTGGGGCATGTGAGTATTTGGTATATTAGTCTTTGTACTTTGTTTCCGTTATTTCATAGCAAATGAGGTTAAATAAGAGTTGATGAAGGAATAGTATGCCTTTATAAATTTCTAGATTTTTTATAAGCTATTTCTTTTGATTTTATCACAACTCTAAGGCAGCCACATTAAATGATTGCTATTCTCAGTTGTGACAAGGAAGGTATAGCTGGTACTTGAGTTTGGTTCTTTGAGTAAGATACCAAGGAGCTTTTAAAATTCTGGGTAATATTTTAAATACGGAGTGATGTGTTTTTCATGTGCCTAGAAATCTTCAGAATATAAATCTGTGTTTAGAGTATAAAATCAGTGATCACTGGTTCTCACACTGGGTTTTTGGGACCCCTTTGCTCTTAAGAATTATTGAGGAACCCAGAGAACTTCTGTTTATATAGTGGTATATCTATGAACATTGACTATACTAGAAATGGAAACTGAGACTTAAGTTCTCACATGAATTGCCCTTCTTCTCTTTTGACTCTGAGTAGGCATACTACTGTGCCTAGCTGCTTTTTTTCTTCATAAACAATTATTTTCACAAAATGTCTTAGTTTGAGGAGTGGCATTATTTTACATTTACAAATATAGTAAATGCCTGTCTGTCTTAGAAGACAGATTCTCATATTTGCTCTAACATTCAATCTGTTACTATAGATTGTTTGAAGAGTAGAAGACTGTTCAGCCTCTTGGATTTATGTAGTTGGAAAAGAGAGAAGTACTTCAGTAGCTTTTTTTTTTTTCCCCCATGAAATTGTGGACCTTCTTTCATACTAAAAACATCCCTGGGCAAGTGATAGTTTCTAAAGAATGTAAGAAGAGGGCAGGGTAAGGGTGGCTTACAACTGTAATCCCAGCTACTTAGGAGGCAGAGATATGAGGATCAAAGTTAAAATCCATACTGGGCAAAAAAAAGCAAGACTGTCTCCAAGAACAAGCACATGTAGTGGTGCATGCTTGTAATCCCCACTACATGGGAAGTGAAGGTAGGAGGATCGAGGTTCAAGGATGATGTGGGCAAAAATTGTGAGACCCTCTGTGAAAAACAACTGAAGAAAAAAAGGGCCGGGGATGTGAGTCAAGTGGTAGTGCTAGCAAGTGTGAAGGCCCTGAGTTCAAACCCCAGTTTGCCAAACAAACAGAAAAACCCAAAAAACAGTTTGCCCAAAAAAAAAAAAAAAAAAAAAAATTCCATGTTTTTGTTCACTTTTGAGAGGATTATCAAAACACCAAGAAATTTTTACATTTTGTAGTATTGCTCAAGGCATTTGTATTAGACCTGGAAAGTTTTTAATTTGTGTGGGAATTGGAAAGTGGAAGATTGTTCTCCCGTGTTTCTGAGGTTCACAGGGGCCTTTCCTATGTGGAAAACAGTTGTTTCAAATGTATATAGTAGCCGGGTGCCAGTGGCTCACGCCTGTAATCCTAGCTACTCAGGAGACAGAGATCAGGAAGATCGTGGCTTGAATCCAGCCCAATCAAATAGTTCACAAGACCCTATTTTGAAAACACCCAACACAGAACAGGGCTGGTCAAGTGGCTCAAGTTCTAGGCTCTAAGTTCAAACCCTAGTACCGAAAAAAGAAAAAAGAAAAAGTCCTCCAAGACTGTTCCCTTTCTTGCTAGGAAGTCACCAAGGTACATCTTTGTGGTTGAGGAGAAATAAAGCAAGTAGTAGGCAAGCAGGATCAGAAGGCCATCATTTTTGTTGGGGATTGAAACCAAGGGTCTTGGGTTATGCTCAGTATGTGCTCTATCAGTGAGCTCCATCCCCAACCCAAGACCATTATTTTTGTTTGTTTGTTTGGTGGTACTGTTTTTTGGGATTGTGTTTAGGTTTAAACTCAGGGCCTCCTGTTTGCTAGGCAAGCACTCTACCACTTGAGCCATGCACCAAACTGAAGGAAAAAAAAAAGGTATTTTTTTCCTTCAGTTTGTTTTTCAGATAAGGTCTTACATGCTTGCCCAGGCAACCTCAGAACATGGTCCTTCCATCCCTGCCTCCTGAGTATCTGGGATTGCTCTCATGCATCAATCACGTATGGTTAAGACTGATTTTTTTGAAGTAGAAAAAAATTTAAGGAATGAGAAGGATAATAGGGGTGGTACCGATTACCTAACAGGGTAGTGAAAAATGCGGAGTCCCTGATATACTTAACATGATTCAGATTTTAAGGAAAAATTTATTACTCTGTACAAAGAGCTGCCAATTCCTAGAAACTATTATAAATGATAGTTAAAGAGGGTATTTGACTAACTTGTAATCTAATATCTTAATTTATATTGGAACGTTCTTTCATATATGAGTGTTGGGAGCTTTATTAATATAGTATGGTGTTCTTTTTGTCAGTCTGTAGATATATTGTTAGAGCCATGCAGTGACCACGGTGATAGTGAAGATGGCTGTCTTGAGAGGTAAGCATTTCTCTTGTTGACTGGTAAATCACTGTAAGAATTGGAAACTTCACAGATTTTTGGGGTGAAATTTTTAGATTAATATGTCCGTTATAACATACACTTTAGTTATGCAAAAAATTCATGCTTCTTATTTGAATAGTGGGCATAAAGCATGTTAAATGTCCAAAAAAATTTCACATCTTCAGACATTAGTGATAACTTGGAAAATGTTCAGAGAGAAGAACACAGCCTCTTGTAAACACCTAAAACTTTGATTTATAAAAAAATAGGAAATTTATTGATACCATGAACATACCTGTCAATGAGTTAACTCATGGTCTTGGAACTGTGACTAACCAAAAGAGAAGATAATTGTTTAAAAAAATATGTATGGATGTTTCTCTTCCCCTTCTGCTCATCCTTGGTGTATCTCAAGTATAATCTGTATTTCATGCTTAATTACCTCCCCAGCCAACTGGAAGATAGGAAGGGAGATGCCTGAGGCACTGAGCTTTCAAACAAATGTAGAGTATCCATAGAGTTCCTTTGAATAGATGTTTTCTTGGAGTGTTTCAAGTCAGAGTACAGGACTTAGGTTTTGTTATCTTTTGCATCATTCTTTTAGATGCTCCCAAGAAGTATATTACAATCCTAGGAAAGATGATTTGATGTCCTGAAAACATACAAGTTACAAAGTAGATTGTAAATATTGAGAGACCCTAAAAAGCATTGCTAATTTGCTTATAGCCTGTTGGCTAGGGTAAAGTTGTGATAATGCCATTGTCTCTTTTAATTGTGAGTAGGAAACCTATTTTCTAAGGGTAAGTAAATTCTTTGGAGCCATGTTTCTGGAGCATCCTCATACTCTGAAGGTCCACAGATTTCCTGCTTACAGCAGTTCCTTGTGCTTCCTTTCAGGAGGCAGGAAGGATCCTCTTCCAGCCCAGGGAGTTTTGGAGCTATGGGCTGAAGATATAAGATTTACAGCATTAACAGGCATCCCCAGAATGATGACATCTGGATTTGGTAGAACAATAAGGATCCATTTAGTGAGGACTCAATCTTTTTGGAAAAGCTTTTTCCTCTTCAACTTGTGTATAGGTTAGCAAACTTGTTTTTAGATCCAAAGAGTACCTGGGTTAGGTGGATTACATTTTGCATGTTTAACACTCATGTTTCTCAAATTTAGATGATTAGGTTTTTTAGTCTGTTAGAATTTACACATCCTATCATTTACTCCCATCCTCAGCAAAGAAGGGCTTTTAGTTTGTCAGTTCATTTTTCAAGTTCAGCCAGAATAAGGAAATTATATATAGGAGGAGATAACTTGCCATATTTGATCAAGCCTTGTCTTTGAATGCACATTCCTATTATCATCACTTAGAAATAGTACTTGAGTGTTTTGTAAATTGCCACAGATGTCTTTGGGAAAAGGAACTTTCCTACAGTATATAACCTACTATATAACCATAGATGCTCTTTTGACTGGCCAAACAGGTAGAGATCATTTGTGACAGCTTGTTGTAACACTTGTTTTTAATATGGGTTAGTTTTTTGGGGGGAATAAAGTATGAATGAAATTTTCTCTTTTTTTTGTGTTACTGTTAGGTTTTGAAGAGAAAGAGTTTAGGAAGTAGTAACCTTTGATTGTAGTATTATCTTGTAACAGAACATTGATTTAAAGTAAACAGCAGACCTATATCTTTTACAAGAAATCTTTAAAATATCTCAAAGTGGGAAGAATAAAGCTATTGGTTAAAACTAACATTTTTTTCAAAGTCTTTTCCATTATACATCCATTCTTTTGGTTTCTGTTTATTGTGGATTTTAATTTTTGTTTCATAAAGATTTTTCTTTTGTGGGGTGGCTTTGTGTGTGGAGAGTGTGGTGGGAAATTTGCTTGATTTTTCTGAACCTGAATTGTTTCTGTGGATCTTTTCAGTATTGTGCGATTTCAGATATAGGGCTCCAAAGAATGGGCATATGTCCAGTTGTATTTTTCTCCTCTCACATTTTAAATGCTAATTATATTGGGAAAGAGGAATCTAGGTAAGAAGTATATAGTAATAGAAACCTTTTTATTCTTAGTATACTAATAACTTTGCTTGTGTTTTTAGGAAAGAATATTTATTATTTGACAGTGATACATTGTCACACTTGATTCTGGTAAGAACTGGTTTTAATCTTATGGTCCTTAAAAATGTTGCTAGGTTTAATGTATCAGTTACTGTATCTGGCATTTAACTCTTTCTTTGAATAGTCTTAAAGGAAATATAAATACTCTTATCAAATGTGTTACGGCTACGTAGCAACTTAATATGCCACTTTTGGTTATGAGATTGTTGGTTATGAAAATACTTTCCTGATTTCCAAATTTCCAAACTTTGTCTTCCAGGAAGACAGGAACTGCAAGTTTATATTTAAAACTAGTTTGGATGGTGGTAAGGTGGCAGTGGGACAGCTGAAATAATAGGCACAGTTAACTGGCAAAGATTACATAAGGATGTGTGTTGGCTGTTTTGAAGCTGGGTGTGAAAAGCATCATGGTTGTGAAATGTATTTCTTGTTTTAAAATACAGGATTCTAGTAGCAAGATACGTGATATGAATGCCAACACTGAATCGGAAATGCCAGGAGGTCAAAGTGTTGGTATTCAAGGGGAAGCAGCATGTATTCAAATTCCACATTTAGATTTGAAGAATGTTTCTGATGGTGATAAATGGGAAGGTAATTTTATCCACACACATTATTTTCCAGATATGGTTTTTGTAATTGACATTACCCAAAGAAGTAATGAGATACTGCCCTCTGTTGAACAACCTTACTCATCTTGACTTTCTGTTCTCACTTTTCATAGAGGATAAGTCAGTGAATTTTGTTACTCAAATACACTAATGAGATTATGGGGCACTAGAATTTACCTATCTGATCCGTTATTTTTGAAGAGTGGATGTTAGATTTGGGCATGGTGGTGCAGGCCTATAATCACAGCACTCAGCAGGCTGAGGCAGGAGAATTCGCAAGTTCAAGACATAGGGAGACTCTGTTTCAACAAACAAACAAGTGACCAAACAAACAAAAATGGATTTTAGAATTGATTAAAAAAATAAAATCATGCCAGGGTAGGTTTTTGTTAATTATGAAATCAGATGCCGTCCCCCAGGCTTTGAAAATCCAGTGTGTTAAGTCTTGAGAATCTTAGCAATTTCAACAGAGAGCATTTAGCTACCTGTTCTTGTGACCATCAGGAATACTTTAAAAAAAATGATCTTCAAGGGCACCCCTAAACCCATATTTGTACTTATTACCTGACTGTATTAGTTTATGAATGTATCACAGGGACACCATAACAGTTTCAATAAAGGATCAGAGTTTAAATTTATCAAGCAACATGGCTATATGCCTTTCCTAGAATTCAGCAAATGTACACGTAAGACTTTTACATTTCATTATTTTTATATTAAGAGAGTCAAAAACTATAAATAAATACTGAACCTCAGTAAAGTATTTGCATGCTGAAATGTTTATGGGGAAAATATGAGTATCTGCCATTTACTTTGAAATCTGTGGGAAAAAAAGATGGTTAATGTGATGGATAAATATTATAAAGCAAGTGTAGTGAAATGTTAATGGTAGAATCTAGGTGATTGGTATATAGGTATTCACTATAAAATTCTTTCAACTTTGCAATATTCTTGTCAACATTGTAATAAAATGTTTGGAGGAGAGAGGAAACAAGCAACAAATTTATATCCAGCAGTATTTCTGGATCATAAGCCTTCCTAGGTAGAAGGAAAATGAGACAACTCAGGAATTTTAAGCCAAGTACACATCTTCACTTGAAAATTCCTGAGTTATCTCACCTTTGGCAAGTTATCTGATTACATACAATGGCAAAAATAAGAGGAATTATAATGCTAGTGCTATGAACTCCTTTTGTCACAGTAAGTCTGTTCACCTGATCATAGTTGCTGTGTGTGTGTGTGTGTGTGTGTGTGTGTAAGATCTAGGCATTTTTATTTTAAAGCTCCCACCAAGTCCTAGTCTGTGCCTATCTTTATTGCTGTCCCCCACCCCTTATTTTTAGGTCTCAGTGTTTATCATGCTCAGTGGCATATTATGAGTCTTAGCTTAAGACTAAATCAGGAAATTGGTTTTCATTTATGTTGTTCTGGGCTATTTAGGACTTTTAGAATTTATGAAGAAGCTTCTTAGAGTTAGAGGATATGTTTGCATACTGGTAGCAGTCAAGATCAAATGTCCTTTTTAGTTATTTATTGAATCACAGTAATTTGAAAAAGAGCAGTGGTTAACAGCATCCTTTGAAGCCTTGGTAAGGAAAGAAGTCTTTGAAAGATTAAGCTGGGATTCTGATGTACTTTTGCTTCTTCCTCTTAGAAGAAGCAAATAAATAACCATTTGTGATATTTGGCTGGGGGCTCCTGATCCTAAGTTTTAAACATAGAAGAGTGAGTGATTTCCATTATCTGGGTAAACTGGGCATTCTCTCTAGCTTCAGCTTCTGGAGGCTCTCCAAAGAGAACCTGATACTAGCAGTGGGGAGAAATGAACCAAGCCTTGTATGCACATATGAATAATAAAAGAAAAATGAAAAAAAAAAAAAACAGAACCTGATACTGGATTGTCTTTTTTTTTTTTTTTTTTTTTTTTTAAAAAGAATCCATGGCCTGAAGCTTGTTGCAGGGAAAGGAGGTTCCTTGTGGTCAAATGGTCCCTGATGTGGTTTTCAGTACCTGAGCTTCTCTGTTATGCATCTTGCTCAACAGTCATGTCAAGTCCATATAGGCCTCCTGCTTTTTCAGGAATAGGGATTAGTGACCTTCAGAAAGCCAGTGGTAAATAGCTGAGTGAACTTCCCAGCCCTGAACCATGAAAGGGCTTGGCAAAGTTGCTGTCAATAAACCATATTGTTCCTTCCAACTCTACCACAATTAGGTGTTAGGATATTCCAAAGAGAAAAGTCTTCTTGGGCTGGCAGAATGGCTCAAGTGGGCCTGGCAAGTACTCTCTGCACTCCAGCACAAAGTCTTCCTTAAGTTAATCTGTTTCTTTAGGATTTGGGTACTTTAAAATCAGAGATGTACTTTGATTGGTGTGACTCCTAGTAAAGAAGTGAGGGTCACTCCAAGTCAAGGTTCACCTCACTATTTCCTAGTTTGTAGCCTTTGATTTTTGTTTTCCTCAAAGTGTAGGTGGCAGAACACAGCAAGCAGGTTGTACATGTCTATCAACACTATGAATATAGCAGCTCTTAAAAAAGTCTTGGCTTACTCTGGGTGCTGGTGGCTTGCACCTGTAATCCTAGCTACTTAGGAGGCAGAGATCAGGAAGATTGCAGTTTGAAGCCATTTGGGGCAAATAGTTTGCATGACCCTATCTTGAAAAAACCCATCACAAAAAAGGGCTGGTGGTGGAATGACTTAAGGTGTAGGCCCTGAGTTCAAACCTCAGTTACCGAAAAAAAAAAAAAGTCTTGGCTTTCAGTGGAGGTGGATACCCTTTTTCCCTCAAATTCTCTCTCTCTCTCTCTGTTTTTTGGTCCTGGGGTACCAATCTAGGAGCTTGTGCATGCTAAGCAAGTGCTCTACCACTGAGCTACACCACCAGTCCTGTGTGGGAGATTTTCTGTCAAATCAATTATATTGAAAAGCTTCAAATGGTACCTGGTTAAGACTGTCCATTTCTTCAGTTTTATGATTTTTAATAAAATAGCACTACTTTTTCTTTTTTTGCCTTGCTTGCTGAAATGGAAATGTATGTTTGTGTTTGGTTAGTACTAATTTCTTTAAACAAAATTTTTGAGAAGAATGCCTAACTTGGTCTTAGGGAAATGTTTTTGGTATCTTTGGCTTTGTGTTATGTGTATGGTTTGTTCTGACTGTGCTGTGTGTTCACTCTAGTATTTTTTGCCATTTTTTTCCATTTTATTAGCATCATGCCCTATCACTTTTCCCCTCATTGATTTCAAAACAATGCATCTGCAGAGAGATGGGGAGGGTAAGTATAGTTTGCCATAGTTTAGTTATCTTGCCTTTTTATGGTTCATTTTGCTTGTCTTTTTACTAGCCCTTCTCCTGTTGTCCCTCAATCTTGGGAAAATAATTTTGAGTTAAAAATGATAACCAGAAAAAAAATCATTTTTATTACTTCGTTTTTTTCTTAAATATTTCTGGGAAAACAGTACAAGGGTTGCTATGGAAATTCCTTTATTGTTGAGTTTATTGTGGGATTGCACGCTTTGTACTCAATTTTATGTTACCAGATTGATTTGGGCTTCAAAAACCAACTAAATTGTGTTCTAAGAACCCTAAAAAAGGATGATGCTTTAAATAGCTAACATGTAGAATTAAACTACATTATTAAAGCAATAATTAAACTATTGTATGAAGAAAAAGAAGCATCACTTTTGCATTTTGACACTGTAAAGCCATCTTTCCATTCCTTTTTGCTATGTAGTAACTCAGTATCAGTGTTTTAAATTTTAGTTATAAATTAAGCTAATGTATAAATGGGAAAATCCCCTCCCCCCATAGTCACTGATGGTTAAAGTTAATTTTGTATTTGGGCTGTATTTGTGAATGATGTCTATGGCTTATATATACTCTGTAATCAAACCTTGTATGTGTAGATACGTCAGTTATATTAACATGGTTTCATTTTAGATCATGACAGATAACTCCAATAAAATAAATATGCTTGAGAAGGACTGATAGGCACAGTAGCTCATGCCTGTAATCCTAGATACTCAGGAGGTGAAGATTGGGAAGATCACAGTTTGAGGCCAGCCTAGGAACTCAGTTGATGAGACCCCCATCTCAACCAGTAAAAGCTGGGCATGATGGTATGTGCCTGTCTTCTCAGCAACATGGGAAGCATAAATAGGAGGATCACCATCTAAGCTGTCTAAGCAACCAGAGCAAAAATGGGGGTGTGATTCAAGTGGTAGTATTTTCTCCTAGCAAGCATGAGACCCTGAGTTCATACCCCAGTACCACCAAAAAAACCCCCAAAAAACCCAAAACAAAACTATTAACTTCTCTCTCTCTCTCTCTCTCCTTCCCCCTTTCCTGCCCTCCTTCTCTCATAGTACTGGGGTTTGAATTCAGGCCTTCATGTTTGCAAAGCAGGTACTCACAAAGCAGGCGCTGTACCACTTGAGTTAGATTTCCTATCTTATGCTCTGCTATTTTGGAGATGGGGTCTTGGCCTTGAACCAGGATCCTCCTCAGCCTCCCAAGTAGCTAGGATTATAGGTATAAACCACGGGTGCCCAGCTACGTTTTCTCTCACTAGTACTGTTATGGGTATTCAATTATTAAAAAATACGTTGTATATAGGAATCCCATAATAGAAAATAACTCCATAGTTTAATGCTAGAGGCCAGTTGCTGACAGGTAAGTTACCTCCTCCTTAGGAGATGGTAGAAAAGAGTGTGCTCTCAGAGTGTTCTGTGTCGCATGTGAAGGCGCTTCTGCATTTTAATACAACCACCTAATAGTGAAGGATGATACATATACCTGTAGAGTGTGCTGTTTCTAAGTAGACTTTACTTGAAAAATACTTCTTTATAATACTAAATTAGGATTATTAAATAACATCTTCAGAATTAAAATTTAAAGAACCTGACAGTGTCCTTTCTTGCTTTGCCACTAGGTTCAGAAACTTAAGGTGTTAAGCTTCTTATATCAAACTAGAACTCTGAGCTAAAAAGTGAAGGGATAATTTAAAAGTACAATAGACATTACAAAGATCAGAATATCTTTTGATTTTTAAAATGTAATAAATATATGAATTACTACATAATAAAGTTATTATAAAGAATATATAGCTGATATTTTGTACCTTTTTTTTTTTCCTGTGTAGAATCATAGTATTGTATGTGTTTGTTTTACAGAGCCATTTCCTGCTTTTAAGTCTTGGCAGGAGGACTCTGAATCTGGAGAAGCTCAGCTGTCTCCACAAGCTGGAAGAATGAATCATCATCCTCTGGGAGAAGACTGCCTTCCAGTATTGTCACATCGCAGTTTAGATTTTGGGCAAAGCCAGCGTTTTCTACATGATCCAGAATCACTGGATTCCTCCTCTAAAGCGCTTTCTTTTGCTAGGTATATGATTTTATGTACTTACAAGAGTCAATTCCTAGTATATACCCAGGTCCTCAGAAAGATTTATTCTAGGCCTATTGTTCAAAGTCTTCTTCCCTATTTCCTGAAGCATGTTTTTGTAAAATTTTTCCCCTTGCAACAAATTTTGAGTTCATTGAGATATAGGCAGTGTTTGAGATTTGCTGTAAAATAGACATTTCCTTATTTATTCATTCAATACTGAAATAACAGAACTCTGAAAGGAAAGCATAAGTACAGCTGGCTAGTTCTTAATGTTTTTGTTAAAATTAATTCTGAATGTCAAAAACTTTTCTTTGCAATTTGAACATTTAAAAGAACTCCAAGCTGCTTGATATCTTTGTCTATTGCCTTTGTCCAAACAAGTTTTTTTTTGGCGGGGGTGGCGGGGAGGTGGGATGGGTGGTACTGAGATTTGAACTCAGAGTTTCATGCTTGCAAACCAGGTGTTCTATCACTTGAGCTACACCTTCAGTTGAAGTAAGTTTTAAATATTCCAAACTCTGTTCATCAACACTTGTGTTAGATAGTTTTGTGGTCTACAACACTATAGTGTTCTTAATTGCTGTTTTTTAGTGATAGGGACGTAATTTCACTTGTAAGATCTATTTACTAGTAATGGTAATACATCAAGGCAATAAATGATATAATGCTGATACTTGATAATTCTGGCCTGTCATTTTAATTCAGGATTCGAAGATCATCTTTTAGTTCAAAAGATGAAAAAAGAGAAGACAGAACTCCTTATCAGTTGGTCAAGAAACTTCAGAAAAAAATCAGACAATTTGAGGACCAGTTTGAAAGGGAAAGAAACAGCAAGGTAAGTTTGTATCATTGCCTAGAGTAAACTAGATCTAATATTAGAACTGGGAGGAGGGTCTTTGGAGAGCATTTGTCTAGCTCTTTCCTGATACATAAACCTTAGCCTCTTGATTTTTAGGCAAGTATTCTTGCCAATCCTTGCCTCTTTATAGCTCCATTAGCAAAATAGATTTTTGAATTTTTAAAACAAACTGCTTACTTTGGCAAATCATATTAACTTTTATTCCTGCTCTGTCAAAATAAAAAAATACCAAGAGAAAAGGGAAGAAATAAAGGGAGGGAAAGAAAGAGTGTGTGTTTTGATAATTAGAACATGTGAAGTGGAATGAGTCCTATATTTGGAGACAGAAGACCCATGCTCAAATGTGGCTTCTTCCGGTTCAAAAGCTGCTCTGGGAGAGATTTATTTAATTTTATGCCATTTCTGATGAAGAGAAATCAGGAATAAATGAAGTCTGTGCTATGGTAACCATAAGATACTATTTGGACATTACCACAAAAGTGTCAGTGATTCTGCTTCATAATTTTTCAGCCCTCCTACAGTGATATTGCAGCCAACCCAAAGGTATTAAAATGGATGACAGAGCTTACCAAACTGCGGAAGCAAATTAAAGGTATAAGATGTGCTATTTTGTAATATTATTTGCATTTTTATTTATGTATTTTTGATTTTTTTTTTATTATTTTATTATTCATATGTGCATACAAGGCTTGGGTCATTTCTCCCCCCTACCCCCAGCCCCTCCCTTACCACCCCCTCTGCCCCCTCCCTTCCCCCCCACCCCGTCAATATCCAGCAGAAACTATTTTGCCCTTATCTCTAATTTTGTTGAAGAGAGAGTATAAGCAGTAATAGGAAGGACCAAGGGTTTTTGCTGGTTGAGATAAGGATAGCTGTACAGGTTGTTGACTCACATTAATTTCCTGTGCGTGTGTGTTACCTTCTAGGTTAATTCTTTTTGCTCTAACCTTTTCTCTAGTTCCTGGTCCCCTTTTCCTATTGGCCTCAGTTGCTTTTAAGGTATCTGTTTTAGTTTCTCTGTGTTAAGGGCAACAAATGCTAGCTAATTTTTTAGGTGTCTTACCTATCCTCTCCCCTCCCTTGTGTGCTCTCGCTTTTATCATGTGCTCATAGTCCAATCCCTTTTGTTGTGTTTGCCCTTGATCTAATGTCCACATATGAGGGAGAACATACGATTTTTGGTCTTTTGGGCCAGGCCAACCTCACTCAGAATGATGTTCTCCAATTCCATCCATTTACCAGCGAATGATAACATTTCGTTCTTCTTCATGGCTGCATAAAATTCCATTGTGTATAGATACCACATTTTCTTAATCCATTCGTCAGTGGTGGGGCATCTTGGCTGTTTCCATAACTTGGCTATTGTGAATAGTGCCGCAATAAACATGGGTGTGCAGGTGCCTCTGGAGTAACCTGTGTCACAGTCTTTTGGGTATATCCCCAAGAGTGGTATTGCTGGATCAAATGGTAGATCAATGTTTAGCTTTTTAAGTAGCCTCCAAATTTTTTTCCAGAGTGGTTGTACTAGTTTACATTCCCACCAACAGTGTAAGATGGTTCCTTTTCCCCGCATCCTCGCCAACACCTGTTGTTGGTGTGTTGCTGATGATGGCTATTCTAACAGGGGTGAGGTGGAATCTTAGTGTGGTTTTAATTTGCATTTCCTTTATTGCTAGAGATGGTGAGCATTTTTTCATGTGTTTTTGGCCATTTGAATTTCTTCTTTTGAGAAAGTTCTGTTTAGTTCACTTGCCCATTTCTTTATTGGTTCATTAGTTTTGGGAGAATTTAGTTTTTTAAGTTCCCTATATATTCTGGTTATCAGTCCTTTGTCTGATGTATAGTGGCAAATATTTTCTCCCACTCTGTGGGTGTTCTCTTCAGTTTAGAGACCATTTCTTTTGATGAACAGAAGCTTTTTAGTTTTATGAGGTCCCATTTATCTATGCTATCTCTTAGTTGCTGTGCTGCTGGGGTTTCATTGAGAAAGTTCTTACCTATACCTACTAACTCCAGAGTATTTCCTACTCTTTCCTGTATCAACTTTAGAGTTTGGGTCTGATATTAAGATCCTTGATCCATTTTGAGTTAATCTTGGTATAGGGTGATATACATGGATCTAGTTTCAGTTTTTTGCAGACTGCTAACCAGTTTTCCCAGCAGTTTTTGTTGAAGAGGCTGCTATTTCTCCATCGTATATTTTTAGCTCCTTTGTCAAAGACAAGTTGGTTATAGTTGTGTGGCTTCATATCTGGGTCCTCTATTCTGTTCCACTGGTCTTCATGTCTGTTTTTGTGCCAGTACCATGCTGTTTTTATTGTTATTGCTTTGTAATATAGTTTGAAGTCAGGTATTGTGATACCTCCAGCATTGTTCTTTTGACTGAGTATTGCCTTGGCTATTCGTGGCCTCTTGTGTTTCCATATAAATTTACAGTAGATTTTTCAATCTCTTTAATGAATGTCATTGGAATTTTGATGGGAATTGCATTAAACATGTAGATTACTTTTGGGAGTATAGACATTTTTACTATGTTGATTCTACCAATCCATGAGCATGGGAGATCTCTCCACTTTCTATAGTCTTCCTCAATCTCTTTCTTCAGAAGTTATAGTTTTCCTTGTAGAGGTCTTTCACATCTTTTGTTAGGTTTACACCTAGGTATTTGATTTTTTTTGAGGCTATTGTAAATGGAATTGTTTTCATACATTCTTTTTCAGTTTGCTCATTGTTAGTGTATAGAAATGCTAATGATTTTTCTATGTTGATTTTATATCCTGCTACCTTGCTATAGCTATTGATGATGTCTAGAAGCTTCTGAGTAGAGTTTTTTGGGTCTTTAAGGTATAGGATCATGTCATCTGCAAATAGGGATATTTTGACAGTTTCTTTACCTATTTGTATTCCTTTTATTCCTTCTTCTTGCCTAATTGCTCTGGCTAGGAATTCCAGTACTATGTTGAATAGGAGTGGAGATAGTGGGCATCCTTGTCTGGTTCCTGATTTTAGAGGGAATGGTTTCAGTTTTTCTCCGTTAAGTATAATGCTGGCTGTAGGTTTGTCATATATAGCTTTTATAATGTTGAGGTACTTTCCTTCTATTCCTAGTTTTCTTAGAGCTTTTATCATGAAATGGTGTTGGATCTTATCAAAGGCTTTTTCTGCATCTATTGAGATGATCAAGTGGTTTTTGTCTTTGCTTCTGTTAATGTGGTTTATTACGTTTATTGATTTTCGTATGTTGAACCACCCCTGCATCCCTGGGATGAAGCCTACTTGGTCGTGGTGAATAATCTTTTTGATGTGTTGTGAATTCGGTTTGCCATTATTTTGTTGAGGATTTTTGCATCAATGTTCATTAAGGAGATTGGCCTATAGTTCTCCTTTTTGGAGGTGTCTTTGCCTGGTTTTGGGATAAGTGTAATACTGGCTTCATAAAATGTGTTTGGCAGTTTTCCTTCCCTTTCTATTTCGTGGAACAGTTTAAGGAGGGTTGGTATCAGTTCTTCTTTAAAGGTCTGATAGAATTCAGCAGAGAATCCATCAGGTCCTGGACTTTTCTTTTTGGGGACTCTTGATTGCTGCTTCAATTTCATTTTGTGTTATAGATCTATTCAGGTGATTAATTTCCTCTTGGTTCAGTTTTGGATGATCATATGTATCTAGAAATCTGTCCATTTCTTTAAGATTTTCAAATTTATTTGAATATAGGTTCTCAAAGTAGTCTCTGATGACTTCCATGGTGTTTGTTGTTATCTCCCCTTTTGCATTCCTGATTCTACTAATTTGGGTTTTTTCTCTCCTCATTTTAGTCAGGTTTGCCAGGGGTCTATGATCTTGTTTATTTTTTCAAAGAACCAACTTTTTGTTTCATTAATTCTTTGTATGGTTTTTTGGTTTCTATTTTTGATTTCAGCTCTTATTTTTATTATTTCTCTCCTTCTATTTGTTTTGGGATTTGCTTGTTCTTGTTTTTCTAGGAGTTTGAGATGTATCATTAGGTCATTGATTTGGGATCTTTCAGTCTTTTTAATATATGCACTCATGGCTATAAACTTTCCTCTCAGGACTGCCTTAGCTGTGTCCCATAGGTTCCGGTAGGTTGTGTTTTCATTTTCATTGACTTCCAGGAACTTTTAATTTCCTCTTTTATTTCATCAATGATCCATTCTTCATTAAGTAATGAGTTATTTAGTTTCCAGCTGTTTGCATGTTTTTTGTCTTTACTTTTGTTGTTGAGTTCTACTTTTACTGCATTGTGATCAGATAGTATGCACGTATAATTTCTATTTTCTTATATTTGCTGAGGCTTGCTTTGTGCCCTAGGATATGATCTATTTTGGAGAAGGTTCCATGGGCTGCTGAGAAGAATGTATATTGTGTAGAAGTTGGATGAAATGTTCTGTAGACATCAAGTAGGTCCATTTGATCTATTGTATATTTTAGATCTTGTCTTTATTGATTTTTTGTTGGATGAGCTATCTATTGATGATAATGGGGTGTTAAAGTCTCCCACAACCACTGTGTTGGCGTTAATATATGCTTTTAGGTCTTTCAGGGTATGTTTGATGAAATTGGGTGCGTTGACATTGGGTGCATACAGGCTGATGATTATTATTTCCTTTTGGTCTATTTCCCCTTTTATTAGTATGGAATGTCCTTCTTTATCTTGTTTGATCAATGTAGGTTTGAAGTCTACTTTGTCAGAGATAAGTATTGCTACTCCTGCCTGTTTTCGGGGGCCATTGGCTTGGTAAATCTTCTTCCAGCCTTTCATCCTAAGCCTATGCTTATTTCTGTCATTGAGATGGGTCTCCTGTAAGCAACAAATTGTTGGATCTTCTTTTTTAATCCATTTTGTCAAGCGGTGCCTTTTGATGGGTGAATTAAGTCCATTAACATTAAGTTTTAGTACTGATAGGTATGTGGTGATTCCTGTCATTTAGTTGTCTTAGTTGTTTGAAGGTGTGATTGTGTGTACCTAAGTTGATGTTACTCTCTACTTTCTTGCTTTTTTCTTTTCCTGTGGTTTGGTGCTGCCTGTCTTTCATGGTTAAGTTGGGTTTCACTTTCTGTGTGCAGAATCCCTTGAAGAATCTTTTGTAGTGGTGGCTTTGTGGTCACATATTGTTTTAGTTTCTGCTTATCATGGAAGACTTTTATTGCTCCATCTATTTTGAATGATAGTTTTGCTGGGTAGAGTATCCTGGGGTTGAAGTTATTTTCATTCAGTGCCCGGAAGATCTCACCCCACGCTCTTGCTTTTAATGTTTCTGTTGAGAAGTCTGCTGTGATTTTGATGGGTTTACTTTTGTATGTTATTTGTTTTTTCTCTCTTGCAGCCTTCAATATTCTTTCCTAGTTTCTGAACTTGTTGTTTTAATGATGATGTCGTGGGGTAGTTCTATTTTGATCTGGTCTGTTTGGTGTCCTGGAGGCCTCTTGCATCTGTATGGGAATATCTTTCTCTAGATTTGGGAAATTTTCTGTTATTATTTTGTTGAATATATTACGCATTCCCTTTGCTTGCACCTCTTCTCCTTCTTCGATGCCCATGATTCTCAGTTTGGTCTTTTGATGGAGTCAGTGAGTTCTTGCATTTTCTTTTCACAGGTCTTGAGTTGTTTAATTAATAGTTCTTCGGTTTTTCCTTTAATTACCATTTCATCTTCAAGTTCTGAGATTCTGTCTTCTGTTTGTTCTATTCTGCTGGATTGGCTTCCGTTTTGTTTTGCAGTTCTGTTTCGTTCTTTTTCTGAGGTTTTCCATATCCTGGGTGGTTTCCTCTTTAATGTTGTCTATTTTTCCTGAGTTCATTTATCTTTTATTCATCGTGTTCTCTGTTTCACTTTGGTGTTTATACAGTGCTTCTATGGTTTCCTTTATTTCTTCTTTTGCTTTTTCAAATTCTCTATTTTTTTGTCTTGGAATTTCTTGAGTGTCTCCTGTACATTTTGGTTGACCCTATCCAGTATCATCTCTATAAAATTCTCATTGAGTACCTGTAGTATGTCTTCTTTTAAATTATTCTTGTGGGCTTCATTGGGTTCTTTGGCATAGTTTATCTTCATTTTGTTGGAGTCTGGATCTGAGTATCTGTTTTCTTCATTCCCCTCTGATTCCTGTACTAATTTTTTGCTGTGGGGAAACTGTTTTCCCTGTTTTTTCTGTCTTCCCGTCATTGTCCTTGGTGTTGTTACTGTCCCTGTACTGTGTGCAATTAAGTATTTTCTAGCTTGTAATAATAACAATGGTAATATTTAGAATGGAAGGGTGAGAGAGATGGAAAGCAAGAAGTTAAAGAAAAGGGAAAAACAGACAAGTAGGAAAAAACAAAACAAGGAATCAAACAAAAAAATTTCATAGGTATAAACGGGGAGTGTTTGTGTACTAATTGACAGTAAGCTGAACAGGCATTAGAGAGACAGAGAGGATTGAAAATATAAAATAAAAAGAATAAAATAAATAAAAATAAAAAGTAAATGAAATTATATATATAAATAATTAATAAAAAAAAGAAAATGAAAAATAGAAAAAAAAAAAAACCTCCAAGTTCAAATGCATGAAGTTTCAAGGAGTCTCTAATAATTTTGGTGTCCGTCTCAGTCTCCAATCCTGGAGATGGTGCCTCAGATGTTGTTCGTAGTTTGTCTCATCAAGGGGACGAATAAAGTAGAAAAAACTGTCCAACATCTTCCCAAGCCTTCTGGGCAGGGGCGACTTGGCAGCCCGGGGACTCCTTTTTTTTCTCCATTTAACGTGAAGTGGAGATGCCTCTGCGCCGGCTTGGAGGTGTGGAGGGGTCAAAGTTTTGCCTCTTCTTGGTGGTTTTGCCTGCAAGGTGTGTCTCCAGTGTTCTCCAAGATTTCATCACTATAGGAGGCACGCTTTCTGCTTCCTCCTCTAGCCGCCATACTTTGGATCTCCCACCCAACCAGTAATAAATTTCTAAGCAGCTATAGATTTTGAAGAAAGTCCCACTTGTAGTAATACAGGAGGCCTCTGCAGTCTTGTGCCAATAAAATACAGACTACCAGCTAGTCTATTAAATTTGCATTTTAAATGTTTTTTATTATTTTTGTAAAAATAATGGTTTGATAGTTTTGAGTATATGATGTTTTGACAAAATAGAAGTTTTCCCGTTTTGCTCTTTAATTAGTTTAAGATCAACATTGTATATCATGAGATGAGAAAGTCTACTGTTTTATGTTCTTTCAGATGTCTTTCTTCTGGATTTATTAGTATCATCTTTTGAAAGATGTCCTAGATTATAGTTCATATGTGGATTTAACAGTTTGTCTAAAATATCTTTATATAGTGAAGATTGTTTTTGGGTTTGGTATGTATTTTCATTAAGATTTTTCAAGAGTAAGAATCTCAGTTAGGGAGTAGGGATGTGTAGCTCAGTGGTACGAGTGAAGCCTTGCGTTTGGTCCCAGTGCCTAAAAGATTAAAAATACACACACTCACACACAGAGACATAGTGAACTTGTTGAATACGATAAAGGACTATTGCTAAATCATAAGTCGCTCTTTTTTTTTTTTTTTTTTACAGTACTAGGGTTTGAACTTGGGCTGCATGCTTGCCTTAGGGCCCAGGTGCTCTTAATACCTGCTTGAGCTACTTCAACCAGCCCCAACAAGTCTTCTTGAATTATAAACTAATGTCTTGCTTTCTGGGTATTAGCCAAGGGTAGCAGTTGTTAAGGTATTTTTTGTGACTATGGCTTTTTTATTCCTTAATTATTGTTATATTTTTTTTTTTTTTTGAAATCGGTAATGTAACTCAGGCTGGCCCTAAGAACTTTGTGATCCTCTTGCCTGACGCCTGCCAAGGACTGGGATTACAAGCATATTACCACTGTGTCTGGCTTGTTTAATATGCTTTGTGTGTGTGTGTGTTGTGTGTGTGTGTGTACTGGGGTTTGACTCAGGGCTCACACTTGCTAAGTAGGTGCTTTTTCCCACTTGAGACACTCCCGCAGTCCTTTTTGTGATGGGTTTTTTTGAGCTATTTAGTTCAGCCAAACTATTTGCCCAGGCTGAAACTTCTAACCATGACCCTCCTGAATCTCTGCCTCCTAAAGTAGCTTAGACTGTTGGCGTGGGGGAGGGGCCCCCCCCCCAAACTTTTTGGGGGGGTTGGGGGCCCCCCATGTGAATATACTTTTTAATAATTACAGTCACTTTAAAAATCAAGTTTGGTGGAGCTGGAGGCATGGCTCAAGTGGTAGGTAGATACGCCTGGCAAGCATGAAAAGCCTGATTCAAACCCTAATACTACTGCTCAAAAGGAAAAAAAAAAAAAATCAACTGTGGGTTTAAGATTTTGATCATTGCTTTGGTTTTTCCATTTGAATTTACAAAAGTAAAAGTTTTAGTATTCTTTAAGTTTTCAAGTACTCAGACACTGTCCTACTGTTATGGAGTTTTGCCAGTCCCGTGGTTTAAGTTTAATTCTTTAACATCCCCTTTACAAGATTAACTTTATTTCTCCAACAGTTCCTGTTTTAAAGCCATTCTTTGTTTAAAATGCAGTTTCAACCATCGGATTGTTAACAATGAAGTTTACTAGCATTAGCCTCCTAATTTCTTCCACTCTAACCTGTCCCTATAGTCCATCTTCTGAAAGCAGCCAGGCTGTCATAAAAAAATAACAATTCTGTTTTGTTGCAAGCCTTCCCTCTTAGAATTATTTTAGGTCCAAACTCCCTGTACTGTGCTCTTTAAGGCCTTGCACATCTGCCTTTAGCAATTTTGTCACTTTTCATGTCTGGTTTCCTGTTCTTTCAAACAATGAAAAAACTTTAGGGGCTTTGCAATAGGCTGTTTGTCCCTCAGTTGGGGAACAAATGTTTTTTCTCCAAATAACTATGTTAGTTTCAACTCCTTGTTCATTTCCATACATCAAAAAGAATGACAGCATTTGTAAAGGCCTCCTTGTCAATCCCATTTTAGTGTAGTTGAATATACTCCTTTTAGCACTGTGACACCATCCCTAATTACATCTTCTTTATAGCACTTAGCATTCTTTAAATTATTTATTAATCCAGTTGGTTTGATACCTGTTTTTTTCTTTCCCTGAATATGGGTGCTCTGAAAACACAGGGACAATGTCCTGTTTTGTTTATTCCTGTATCTCACTTTATATTTGTGGATATTGATTGAAAGAATCAATAGCTCTTTCAAATATCTGAGCCTGAGTACTATGAATTATTATTCATCTGTTCTCTTTATTTCTGAAAGTAGATGCAAAACATAAAAGCTCTGATGGAGAATTGTACCTCAGACACGTCCACGTAGTAACACTCTTTCCAAAAAAGTTTTGGCTCTTCTCTTGACCATGAAGATGAAGAAGAATGAGGTGAACCCGAATATTCAGAAGGAGAAAAAACCATCTACAGGAGCACCCTCGAAATGATACTGAAAAGTGAAGGAAAAACGTGTTGCAGGTGTCTTCCGAAGATACTCAAGGTAATTTGAATTGTGATTTTTTTTTTTTTGACCAGGCTAGTCTGTAGAATCCCTGAAAACAAATAATTACCACATGCAGGTTAAGAGATGTTCTAGATGTCTAGGTACAGTGTGAGGTTTTGCAAGATTCAAAAACTTGCTTCATCAGTAGTAAGTGGGCTAAAATCTTTCCACGGAGTTGGAATCACAATAGTAAAAGTAAAAAAAAAACTAGATACTGATTGATTCCATTTCTGTTAGAGTCATGACAAGGTAAGTGTATATGAGGAGAAACAGAGCTGAGTTTGAAATCTGGTTCCTGCACATCTTGAACTCTCACACCTTATGCCAGACCATCGACAGGTTGCCAGTTATATGCGTTCTGGCACTGGTCCCTTCAACAACCTGTGATATATATAAATATGATTGCATCATTAAAAAAATATTAAGTTTGATATGATTGCTTATGAGGATTAAGTGATTAAATTTTGAAGAACAAATTACTCTTGCTAGTAAAGGCAATATGCTTTCCAAGTGAAAGCATGCAGCAACACATCATGTACCACGAAATATGCTGGGAGAGCTGAAGAGGATCATTTCAAGTCACTTTTGGTATAGGTAATGGTGACTCCTGCCATTATTTTTTCTTGACAAGAGAGTATACCTCTGTCGTGATCTAAATATTGAAAGTCCTTGGTTTTCCTTGAAAGAGTGACTTACGTCATTCTTCCCTCTCCCAAACTATATTTTTCTTTTTTTCCTGTTAGAAACCTGCCTTTCTCTATAAGTGATTCATTGGATTAGCTGTACTCAAATTCCTTATTGTAGATTTAAGGTTCAAGCTTGAGATGAAAAATCACAGTCTTTAGAGTTTATAAAGTCTACACTTAGCTATCTTTTACTGATTAACATCTAACGTAATACCCTATTGCCAGGCACCCCGTGGTTGCATGCCTGTAAACTAGCACTTGAAGATTGAGATCGGGAGGAGTGCTGTTCAAGGCCAGCCAAGGCAAATAGTTTCCTGAGGCACCCATCTCCCAAATAATAACCAGAGCAAAAAGGATTGGAGTGTTGGCTCAACTGGTAGACCTGCCTGTTTTGCAAGTGCAAAGCCCTGAAGTTCAAACCCCAGTCCCACCAAAAAAAAGTGTTACCTGCATAGCGAAGATCCTGTCGCAGTGAATAATGTTTTGTTTTTTTTTTTTTTTTTTTTTTTAAATCTCTGATTTCAACTCCTGGTGAGAGATAGGGCCGTATTAGCCTGGAAATAGAATAGGGTTTATTTGGAGCTTAGTTGAAGGGTTCTGGGACATTGGTTCATTTGATGGCAATAGGTGAGGCGCTAAAGGAACAAAAGGACAAGGTTCTGTGGACAAATAATTTGGGGAATTTCTGCTTTACTCTACTTGTTTAGAAAAACTTAAGATAGGATCTTGTATTTCAGTGGTAAATAATTGCCAACCCAGATGAATGGGAAATTTAGGTCATTGAGCTGACTGTCTAAGGTTACCAAATTGACATTTTGACTTTTTGTTTTCTTGCATTTTCACTGTACTGCTATAGGGTTTCCATAAAGCTTAGGAACATTGGACTTAAAGAACCTGTGCATATATCTGGGATGTGTGGGGTGTCTCCATCTACTAGTTTTGTCTTTTTTTTTTTCTTTCAGTGCTGGTGTTGAACCGCAGGCCTGGGTGTACACGTTGGCCAAATGCTCTGCCACTGAGCTATCATGACTAGCGCCGTGGGTTTTGGAGACAGGAATCTTGGCCATGTAGCCAGGCAGGCAATTAAATGTTATTCTCTTGCTCTGCTCCTGAGTGCTGGGATTACAAGTGTGTGCTACCACACCCAGATTTATAATCAGTGTCTTGTACTACAAAAAGATATGTGCAACATTAAGTATAGTAGTACACATAGTTTTATGTATGTTCCTGTGTGCTAAAGTAGGCCATGTTAAAAGTACATCACATCAACCTGTATTTAGTCTCATTCAGTCCTTTGAGGAGAATGAATTATTGCATTTTACCCAGATTAGTTAATTGAATATGAAGAGTTTAAGTAATATCATACCAAAGCCAGTATTCTAATTTATTTAAATAGAATATAAATCAAACCAGCAGAGGGGGTTTGTTATCTGTGTATTAGAAGACCAGATTGTACATAGACTGAAAAGTTGCCTGCAAATTCATAAAGCAAAGACATGATTGCCTGGGCTAACATTGGGAATGGTCTGTGTTTTCAATCTCATGCTTTGTAGGAATGAGGAGAATAAATCGGTGGGTCAAATGGTTTTTCCTTTCAATCCTAGAAAATGACGAAAGATCATTCTGGTAGAAGAGAAAACTTCTCTCCAGAAAAGTTCTTCTTTACTATGAAAGTCAAATGGAAGGCCGGTAATACCTCTTTCTAAAAAAAAATTTGATTTTCTATCTTACAAAAGACAATGAATCACTTTTGGGTCTATACTCTTCAGAAGTGGTGTTTTATAAAGCCACTGTTTCCTTGAATTGGGAGATTACCTACTTAATATAAAACATTTTAAAATTTAAAGCATTAAATTAATTTTAAAAATTTAAGCATTTAACATTTAAAATTTTGGTCGGGGGAAGTCAGTGTTTGGAACATTGTAGAATTTCTGATGATTAGGTGACTTACTTTTTTTTTGGCTTCAGGTGCCAGGGAAGAAAGGCACATTGTAAACCTCTTTATGATAGAATACAGGCCTTGTAACAACCAGATGCTGACAGGGCTAGCATCACTCCTGTCCTTGTAAGTAAAACAACCAAATATAACTTTCCCTCATTTTGAGAAGGCAGTACTAGAGTTGAGCTCAGACCTTGAACCCACTTGCTAAGCAGGAGGTTCTTTCTCACCACTTGACTATACCCCAGGCCCCTTTTGCTTCAGTATTTTTCAGGTACGGTCTCACATAGGTCTGTTAATTAGCTTTTTTAGGTGCTGGGGTTTGAACTCAGGGCTTTGTGCTGGTAGATAAAGGAACTCTATCACTTGAGCCATACCTCCAGCATTTGTTGCTCTGATTATTTGTGAGATAGGATTCCACTTTTTGCCAAGCCATCTGGACTGTAATCCCCTCCTATTTTAACACTGCCTACTTGCTGGAATGATAGGTGTGTGCCGCACCCAGTTTTTTGTTGTTGAGAGATGGGGTCTATGGAATTTTTTTCCTGGGTTGGTGGAAACAAAACTCCTTGATCTCAGCCTCCCAAGTTAGCTAGGATTTTAAAAACAAAGGGGGTGGGGGTTGGAAAAAAAAAACCCCACTGGTTGCCTGGCTTATTTGTAGCTTTTGATGAGCTTCCATACTGATTTCATAGTGGACTGGACTATTTACATTCCCACCAACAGTGTATAAAGGTCATTTCCCCTCCCACCTCATCCTTGCCAGTTTTATTGTTTTTTTTGTTTTCTGATGATTGTATTTGACTGGGTGAGATGGATTCTCAGTGTAGTTTGATTTGCATTTCCTTTATTGCTAAGAATGATGAACCATTTCTTTATGTGCTTATTTAGCCAATTATGCTATTATTCTGAGAACTGTTTGTATAATTCTTTGGTTATTCTTTTGATGTTTATTTTTTTGGGTGCTCTTTGTATATTTTGGATGTTAATCCTTTAGATTTAAAGCTGAATAGTGAACAAAGATTTTCTTCCATTCTATGTGTTATCCTCTCAATGAATGACTAATTGTTCCCTTTTATGTGCTAAGAAGGCTTACTAATTTGATGCAGTTCCACTTGTCCAGTTTTCTTCCTAATTTCTTGGGCAAACTCGAGTCTACTTAAAATGCTTGCCTATGCCTTTAAGAGTTTGCCCATAGTTGTTTTCAGCATTTCAGGTTTTACATTAAGACCTTAGAATCCATGTTGAATTGATTTTTTACGAGAGTGAGATAATAGGTCTAGCTTTAGTCTTTTCCAGGTAGATAACCAGTTTTTCCCAGCACCATTTAAATTGAAGAGGTGTCTTTGGAAGTATAATATTTTTGGGCTCCTTTGTCAAGTTAAATAGCTACAGCTGAGTGCTGGTGGCTCACACCTGTAATCCTAACCATTTGGAAAGGCCTGAGATTTAGAGTGTCTCGGTTTTGAATCTAAGCCCTAGGCCAATACTTGGGGAGACCCCATCTCCAAAGTAACCAGAGCAAAATTGACTGGAGGTGTGGCTCAAAGGTAGAGTGCCTGTTTCCAAGCTC